CCGTACGGGTTCGATATGTCCGCCGTCGCGCTGCCGTCGGGGACCACTCCCACGTCCATCGACGATGATGACACCTGGCATACGGAAAATTCGGGAGTTAGTTAGATGCGGAAAGTAAAAAAATTCGAAATTAGGGGAAACGAAGATGAGATGGGGACTCACGCTGTGGCTCAAGCACTGAGCGGTGTATCCGTAAGCGAAAGCCTTGGATCCGACTGCGGCGGCAGCGGCGGCGAAGTCGAGGTCGAAGCAGTGCTCGTTGATCAATTGAGGCTGGTGGACGCCGCCGGGGACGACTCCGTCGGTCCCGGAGCTGTTCTGCTCCTGCGGCTCCATCTTCGGATCCACGGGCCCGTAGTCCAGATCCAGGTACGGATCCATCTCGGGGAACATGAACTGCCCGGTGTTCAGATCCGGAGAGTCCATGACCCCGCCGCCCTTGTTGCCGCCGCCGCCTGCCGGCGGCGGGGGGTTGGGGAGGAGCCAGGAAGCAGCCTCGGCCTCCTCCCTGCTGACGTCATCGTCCGCGGCGTCGTCGGCGAAGTAGCGGTCGTCGAGGAAGTTGAGCGCGCAGGGCGGGTGGTGCTGCTGCGCCGCCGCGTCCGCGTCGTCGTCCGGGGAGGAGGAGGAGGAGGACTTGTCGACGGCGTCGTAGAAGGGGACGACGGGGACGCGGTCGTGGCGGCGGGCGAGCGGGTTGGCGGAGTGGATGTCGCGGTCGCAGGTGACGCAGAGCGCGGCGGCGTCGGCCTTGCAGGTGACGTGCGCGGGTGCCTGCTCGCAGACCTCGCACATCCAGACGCGCGCGTGGCGGGACGCCAGCTTGTTGGCGGCGTGGATCTTGGAGTCGCAGGTGAGGCAGAGGAAGGCCGAGTCCGGGCGGCAGAAGAGCGCCGCCGTTGCCGACTTGCAGGAGTCGCAGAGCTTGGAAGCCATGATTCTGCGAAGAAGAAGAAGGTAAGGGAGGTGTGACTTTGTGGTGGTGAGTAAAGGCTGAGCTGTTGGCTTCACACAGTGGAGAGAGAGGGAGTATATGGGTACAGCTTCTATCTGGTGGGCCAGGGGGAAATCTGAGTGGGAACGAATCAGGGCGCGCCGCGTCGGCACGGGGCTTAGCCATACCGCAAACTCATTTTCCCCCCATCTTTTTGTTGTTTTTTGCTGTATAATTGGTGAGCTGTGTTTCGAGTGTAGGGCCCGGAGACCACGTGGGATGTGGGCCTGCGGGCTCGGGGATGGGTGATGGGGTAATGGGCTCGGTGGAGGGGAACTAAGAGATGGGCCATGGGGGTGTGAACGAGTTAAGGAGAGGAATCTGTTTGTGGGGATGGGGCCCAGGGAGACGAGTAGAGAGTTGGATCTGGTTGGAGATAGATCTGGTTTGGTTTCCTTCCTTTTCTTCTTTGTTTTGTTTGGGAGTGAATTAATATGTGGGAGGAAGGATGCAGTGTGGTCGACATCGTGGTTGATGGGGAAGGGAAATGGGAAATGGGAAATGGGGAATGGGAAGGTATGCGTAGGGCAAAAGCTGAGTGCCAATTCCAGATAAACAAGTCCATCCTCAAAACAGAATCTTGTTATACTAGATTTCTTCGTATGATTTGAAGGGTGTGTCAGTAAGCAAATGCATAAAAAAGATGAAGGTAGAGAGATGGGTGTGTGTTTTTCTTTGGTGCTCATAAAGGGTGGGGGAAAAAATGAGGTTGGTTTATTCGTCGGATTTGAAAAATTATATAAGACGTTAGAAATTGAAGGAATGGCGACGGTTTCGGGAAATTACATTTTAGAAAGCTTGTAGAATTCATGATTTAATTCACGAACTCTACAAATTTAGCTCATGTGTCGGGTCAAATACGTTAGGAAGGTGAATCCTCTATTTGACCTGACGAAGGATATTGTAGGGATAAATATTGTCTCCAATGAGTAGTTGGCACAGCAAATCCATTGAAGTATAGAAACAAAGGGCATTCCCACATATAATTTGGGCATCAAGTTGGGCCGTCCACAACTAGTATGGCTCGACCCAATTAAGGCACAATAAGAGTCCGAACAAACAATGCATGGACCTGTGAATCATCAGCAAAGCTAAACAGGATAAGATCGTCAGCAAAGAATAGATGGGATAAGCTGGGCCCTGTTCCTGCAAGTTTAATCGGCTGCCATCTACCCTCCTCCACTGCCTGCCGAATTAAATGGCTCAACCTCTCCATGCACAATGTAAAGATGTACGGGGAGAGGGGACATCCTTGCCGCAGTCCTCTAGATGGGGAGATCTCTTCCGTCAAGCCGCCATTCCATTGAATCCGCATCCTGGCAGTTGAAATGCACTTCATAGTTAGCTCCGTGAACTGCGCCGGGAACCCAATCGCCTGGAGAGTATCATGGACAAAACTCCATCGAATGCGGTCATACGCCTTTGCCAGGTCCACTTTAATCGCCATCCAACCTCTTTTCCCTTTCTTGGCTCTCATCGAATGAACCACTTCCTGCAAAACACAGATATTGTCAGTTATGTGTCGTCCTGGTACAAAACTCGTCTGAGTTTCATGCACTAGTCGTGGCATAAAAGGCTTAAGTCTCTCCGCCAGGCACTTCGTAATGATTTTGTATCCCACATTGCAGAGACTTATTGGCCTGAACTGCTCTAACTGAATCGGCCGGGGAATTTTAGGGATGAGCACTATAATTGTTTCATTTATTTCTCGTATAGTCTCAGGTGACACCCAGCACTTCTCCGCGAACTCTGTTACCGCCGGTGCTACTAGGTCCCAGAATTTTTGGAAAAATAGGGGGTTCAGGCCATCCAATCCCGGGGCCTTGAGCGGTCCCATACTATGCACCGCACTTCGGAGTTCCTCCATCATAAACGAGTCCCCTAGTGAACCCGCCTCCTGTTGCACATTGCTAGGGAAGAGATGTGGTATGTGTAAACAGGGATTGCCCTCATCTGTGAACAGTGTCTCATAAAATGAACAAGCCAAACTCATTAGTTCCTTCTGATCCTCCACCCAGTTTCCCTGCTGGTCCTTCAACATTGATATTCTATTCCTCTTCCGCCGGCGCAACGTTCTAGTATGGAAGTATTTAGTATTTTTATCTCCCGAGTTCGTCCATTCTGTTCGTGATTTCTGTAGCCACAAAACTTCCTCTTGCACAAGCACCTCTTCGAGCTCATTCCGGAGGGACGTCATGGCAGGGTGATTTGAGTCGCCACCCCCACGTACCTCTAGAGCTTCAATCCGCCGCAAAAGACTATCCTTCCGCCTGAGAATGTGTCCGAAAGTCGAGTGATTCCATTGGCTAACCTCCTGGGCAAAGGCTCTGGAGCTGCTGAGGAAATCATCGCCTTTCTCCCATGCCGCCTAAGCTACCTCCGCGAAATCCACATGAGTCAACCATGCAGCGAGAAATTTAAAAGGTTTTTGCCCCGGGACTACTAAAGGCATACTTGTCCGAATGAGGAGGGGTCGATGATCCGACTTGATCCTGGGGAGATGCCGTACAGTGGTATCCGGGAAGGCGACCACCCATTCTGTGTTAGCTAGCCCCCTATCCAGCCTTTCTTTCACACCCCCTTCTAAACCACGTATATGGCGGTCCAACATAGCCCAAATCGCTGAGTCCGGAGTCCAGGATACACTCCTGAAAGTCCCTGACCTTACTAGCATCAAAGGGAGCTCCTCCAAACTTGTCGGAAGCGCTCAACATTGAGTTAAAGTCCCCTGCTAGTAGCCATGGCATAGTGCTCTCCTCCGCAATCGATCTAATCGAGGCCCAGAGCTTCCGTCGCTGAACAAGTGCAGGATTAGCGTAGACTGCCGATAAGAGAAACTGCCCCTGACCTTCCCTGACCGTAACATGCAGCAACTGGCCTGTACGGTTCTCCTCTGTAATCTGAACCGACGCTGAATCCCAAAGTAGCCAGATACCACTAGAAAAACCCACTGCCTCAACCACTAGGCTCTGATCCAGCCCCAGCTGACTGATCACTTGCTTCGCTGTACTCCCACTGATTCTAGGCTCAACAATGATGGCGATGTGTGGTCTGTACTTGCGTTTATATTCCTTAAAGACTCGCAAGAAGCTATCGCCTACCGCACCCCTACAATTCCATGAGAATATGTTCAAATCCATCGTATATGGGAATACGTAGGGTACCCTTGGTTTCTTTACTAGTGAGTCGTAGACACCCCCGGGGGGTCCCTACGCTTTCTGCTCTCGAGGGCTGTCCCCCCCGGTACTGCATTTCTCGTCGATAGGCTCGTGTCCTGCGGCTGCTGTATGGGGTACATTGCATCTGGGCCATGTCCCTTCCCATCCTTGGCTCCTCCAGTCTCCACGATATTTGGAGCCTTGTTTCGTCCCTCGATTTCTCGGGTACTGGAGGAAGGGGTAATATCTCTCGCTGATTGCCCATCCTTTGCTAGCCCCTCCTTGTTCTTACCCTTGTTTCCTGCTTCTTTATTTTGTGACCAGCCCTTAGCTATGCCCCCTACTGCCCCCTGATCAAATGGTGCTCGTCGGGTCTCAGAGGGGGTGCTCACCTCCCCTTCTTTATTCTGTTCCTCCTCATGAGGTTGTTGTTGGGATGTATTTTTCTCCACCCAGATCGCTTGAGGTTTTTGTGTTGGGACCTTGGCCTTGGTAGTCTTTTCCCCCTCAACACCCTTTCCCCTCTCCTTGCCCACTACTCGTTCATCCATTTCAGTCTCCTTTGTTGGCACTGTATCACTACCGGCGTCCTCGCATTCCAACACAGAAAATCTCGAACCCAGAGTCACGTTCCCATCTCGCGAAGCTTTTCTCCCTGTCGGGTTCCCCACTACTCCCTGATCTGCACGTTTATTTGGTCTCCTCTCTCTCCGTTTGGCGATCATCCATTCTCCGTAAGCCTCTGTGTGCTTGGCTTGTTCGCTTGGGTTCCCACCCGACGGTGTTCCTTGGGTGTGTTCCTTCGAGTGTAACGTAGGGCATGCATTCTTGGAGTGTCCGTACATACCACATTCAAAGCAGACATTATCCAGGCCTTCATAATTGATCTCATACTCCACCCCGCCCACCTTGTACTTAGAAAGAAGAGGTTTCATTAGATCAACCTCTATGCAGGCCCTAGCATAGACACCTCTCGCACCCAGCTCTGTGGCTCTATCAACTCTCACTGGGGTTCCTGCTCGTGCAGCTATACGCATGACTGCTCTTGGGTTGAAGAGTTCAATCGGCAAGTCAGGTAAGCGAATCCAAACCAAGGTCGAGGCTATCTTTTAGGTCTTGGGGTTAAAGCTCTTTTTCCACTTCTGGGTAGTGATATAATGATCTCCTATAAGCCAAGGTCCACCCGTTAGTGCCGCTTCGTAGTCCAGTTTACTCGTAAACCTGATGAAATAGTAGCCATTGGTTCTGTTCGTGATCTGAATCGAGCCGTGTCTTGCCCATAGCATATTTAATCTCTTAGCCATGACAGGGTAGGGGAAGGACCTCCCCAAGACCTTCACAACCAGTGCCGACCGCCACTCCCGACGGTAGTCTCTTAGTTCTGATGGGGAGAAGTAGACGGTAGGGCATCGTGGGTCGTCATCCTCCGCGATCGGATCATCCTGATTGTCCTCCCTCATTGCTTCGGCCACATCTTCAGAGTCCGAGTCCGCAATATACCAGGACTCCTCCATCACCGCCTCACTAAACAACTTCTTTCGTCCCACACCCCAGGCCATCGGTTGGGGCTGTGACTTTTTAGGGCTTGGTGTAATATGTTCCACATGGTGGGTCTGATCGCAGTTCGTCCCAAGCTCTTCCTCGGTAATATCTTCAACAACAACTTCGAAGTTCATGTCCTTCTCCTCAGGAAACTCCAACGGTCTCACCTTCTTCTTTGGTTGTTGGATCTCTTGATCCTTCTTACCATCCGGGGAAGAGAAGACTTCATAGGCACGCCTACTCCCCGCTGACCCATCGGGTGGCTTGCCCTCCTCCGGTGGTGCCGGAGGCTCCGGCGACCTCATCGCCATCGCAGTAGGCCTGCCGGTGCACAGAAACCCTAGCCGATTCCCTTGTCCGAGTTTTGCGGAGCTCTTATTTCCGTTCCTCCCCTTATAGATATCCCTCTCACCACGTTGCCGTCTTTGACTTAATATTTTTTTGGCACTCAATTGAGTATAGGCATGAATAGGAAAAAAAAAAAAAAAAAAACTTAGACAAAGAAACTTAAAAAAGGTTAGTCAAATTTGGTGCATTTTGATTCGCTGAAGGGATAAACGCGTACAATACATATAGTTTTGGTGCTTTCAAAGCATATGTTTAGCTACCTAAATCCTCTCTGGGAAAATGAAGGCTGCCTACACAGATTCCTAAACCTTCAAAGAGCACACAATGCCTTTGTGGGATGTTTTCTTCCTACAAAGTACAACCGAAATTGGAACTAGAGTGTGACAAAAACTAGACCTAACGATGTCGTTGACGAAGATGGTAGTACTTTTTCGCCATGGGAGCACATGTAAGTGACTGTTCTGTCATGTCCTTGGGGGGTTCATAATCAGGATCTTCTAAACTGGGAACTTCCTCTGGTAGCTCATCTTCAATCCATGAGGGCCAATCCACATCGCTGTCTTCTTCCCATGTCTCCTCTTTACTTCTTTGGATCGAGTTCACCTTCTCCACCAATGTCTCAATCATTCTATGATTCAACAGTTCATAGTCCCTGCAAAATGTTATTATGAAGCATTATGTCAGATTAACACACATTCCAAGTGCAACTCGATGGCTTTCTCACAACAGTTTTGGACACAAGTGTTCGATTTTGACGAACCTGTATGTGTAAATAGCATGTAGGAATTGGAGAATGGCCAGCAATGCATATAGCAACCTCATCAGGTTAATCATCCATGTCTGTCGCTCGATATCAACTGGTGTTAGCCGAATGATTGCCACTTCTACGGCGAAAGTTATGCATAGACCTGCGAGGGAAAGAAGCCGGTTTAGTATATCATTCATTCAATGTTCATGTTCCAGTCTTTTTTACAGGTTAGCATACAGAGTTGCAGGACATGAAGGAGATATAGACGTACCAATGTAAAGGTTCGCGCGCACTAGATATGTCTGCTTCGTGCTGGTGAGCAAGTAAATGACGAAAATCGACATAACGTAGATGAAGAAAGCCTTGATTGCTCGTGATTCAAGCAACATTGTGTTGTGCAGTTCAAACAACTTGTCTAGCACGACGAACATGCTTGCTTGCTTCATTTCAAAAGCTTCCTGTAAACAATGAGAAGTTAAGCTGCATTCAGGTTTTATTGCAAGGATGTTTCGAATGATGGTTTATTGCAAGAAAAACCAAACCTGTGCTGCTAATATCGACTGCGAATTCTCGACCAATCGATCGTGAACTTGTTGAAGCTGTTCCTGCCTACCAAGAAGTTCTTCCTGCTGTTTACGACCCAGATCAGCTAAATGCTGCACAGCATTCCTGCAGGTTGAAAAAAAACAACTTGGTCGATGAACTTTTCGATTCTCAAGTAAAAAACTGATTAAGTTAGTTCAATCAAATGTTTCCCCATTTCACCTGCTTTCTTCCAGTGCAGCAGATTGAGATTCCGTGAGAAATTTGAGACCTCTGAGTGCAGTGGATTGTCCATCCAAAAGCTCTTGCTGCTTGCTCAATGAACTTCCTGCCATGTTCTCGATGTCATCGGCTTTGCTCTGCAGATCCTGAAACTTGGAAGACATTGTTTCTCCCACACTATCAATCTGCTTTTCAATCTCCATTGCCTCATTTCTCAGGTTACCCACTTCCTCACCCAAATTACTGTAAGCTTCCTGAAGCATCGTTACACCCTCCTTCAGGTTCTCATTCATCATCTTTTGTCCTGCCTGCAGCTGTGATTGTGACTGTGCTATTTCCTCCGAACATTTGTAAACAGCTTCTGACTGCTTCGACAACGCATCTATCTGTCCCTCCACGCCCTTAGTAGCTTGAACGACATGTCGAACCTGGAGATCCACTGAACTCAACGATTCATGAATCTGATTAGAGCTCTGTAGCAGGGAGAATGTTCTATCTGCAATTATGTCCAATTGCTGCTCTGTATATTGCGCTGAACTCCTCAGTTCATTCACCAACCTCTCTGTTTCCCGCTTGAATGCATGCGCCCTGGGAAAACCCAAACAACGCAAACAATCAGTTTCGCTACACGAAAAATCAACAGAAAACAGGCAGAACAGAAGATTTGCATTTGTTCCACAGTACTCAACTGCAATTGATAGCAGATGGAGTTGGTTTCGAGCAAGTACTCGAGGTAAATTTTGTGTTCGTGGTCATCCAACTTCTTCAGGCAATGAACCATGGCCGTATCCTCGCCGCAACGAGGGAAAGGCCTCCTCCCGGAGTCCTTCTGGAAGCAATCGCTGAGATGCCAAGCGAACCTGGAGCGTTTCTCCTCGTGGGCCAGAATTTGGGTGCATCCGGCGAAGATGTGTTGGTATGCGTTCTGCCAGCAGGAATTCAAACCAGCAACCAATTTAGTCCTGGCCTTTTCGACCAGTTTCGTTCCTTTGGCGTCTGCAGGGCCGTCCATGGAGAACTCGGGCACCGCCACACCGTGACCACCATCGGCGGCAGCCGGAGGAGGAGGTGGAGGAGAAGAGAACCATCCCCATGACTGGCAATTTGGAGCAGAGGAAACTAAGACTAGGAAAAGCAACAGAAGACGGTAATTCACCATGTTCTTGGTCTCAATTTAATCAAAACCTCTTGTCGATGAAACCTGCAGAACCTGTTAGGAAAATAGAAAGACGGATATAGAAATAGAAGCCCGAAGAGATTCTGTCAGTGTGTCGTCTCTTTATATACAGCGAAGATAGGCCGGAAATGACGAAGCTTGGAGTGCAAGTGAAGCAACCGGGCTTCGACAATGGCGGTGCTGTTTTGCTATTATGAGCCGGCAACGTCCGGCTATGCGGTTTTCCGATGAAGGGTCGGGACGCTTCGAATATATTTTCTTCTTCTTTCTGTTTTTGAACGGAGGGACGCTTTGATTTGGTTTCCCCAACGAAACTCCGGCGAGTGTTAGAGGAGAGGTTTGTTATTAATCTGTAACGGTCGGGTTGGAACAAGATAGACGATCGAACACCAAACCAATGGCTATTTACAATACAGGTCCTAAATCATATTCTTTTTGCATGTAAGTACCTGTCCTGGCTATCCACAATACAATCTAGTCTCCTTTCAGTCATTGCAATTTCCTTCCTTTGAAGTGTGATGTGAACAACCAATTTATTCCAACTCATCAACGACCGCTTTGAGATAATCTCGACGATGAATTTTATACCATTCTCGTACATTTTTTCGGCAAAAATAAAGTCGTGCCGTTGAACGTGAAATGAACTTGAAAAACAGTAGAACACATTCACATAAATATCATATGCATAATATTGTTACATTGGCGTTGTTAAGATTCAAAGCCGCCACCTCATAACTTTAGATATCATGTAAGAAACCAATTCACCTTAAATAGCCTCAAGAACATGTTTCACATAAGACCCTCGGCCTATATCCTTGACACTAACCACAACACAAGACACAAATTAGACGATGACATCGTAACCTAATCTCAGTACTCATATTAATCTGCAAAACATTAGTACATTGCACAAGCTCACCAAAACCTCGACGTTCTAAGAAAATTTAAGAACAAAAAGCCAAGAGTTAAGAAAGAAGAAAAAATGGCCATTACCCCCTCCAGAAATGAAGCTAAAAAAGAAATAGAAAAATAGATATATAGAAGATTGGAAGACACAAAAGGTGTAAAAGTTAATTAATGGTAGGTTTGTAACACTTTTGGCTTCTGCATTGCCACACAACATAGAGCTCGAATTTCACAATATCCTTAACTACCTCCTGACTTGAGAGTATTACTCAACCTGCAAGCAACCAAGAATTCCAAATATTAGAGTGATGCAATAAGCAGATTCATCCAAGGAGGCAATGCTGCTCTTCCTGGTCTTGTACACAATGGGTAGAGGAAATATGATTCTGAAAATTTGAACATTTGGTTCTGTTCTGAAATGTTCTTACGAGATGGCCTTCCTAGTAGTTAGTCCTGTTTCTAATCAGGTTTGTTTCCAGTATTCGCCTAATCTATGGCAGTCGTATAAATGAGTTCCGTTATGTTTGGATGAGTGACCATATATGACAATCAAGTACTGGAGAATGCTCACCAGTCCAATCCCTCATAGAGGCCTTCGCCCTTAACAGCACAAGTCTTGAAGATGGACCATTGCCGGTTTTTAATCTTGTGCAACTCTAGAGCCTCAGTAACTGCAGCATCATCAAGCGCACCAGGAAGATCCTGCTCACAGAGAGTAGCAATATAAGCAGAGCTAATAGGCTGCGAAATGGGGAAACAGGCTTGGACAACTTATGCAAACCCAAGAATTAATCAACCCGAAGAAAATCTGTGAGCTTATTGAGTCCTCTACATGTATTGGAAGATGACAGAAAAAATGGTTTCACCTGCTTGTTTGCGAAAATGAGGACAATGGCCCCTTTCAATTCTTCTTCCTGCCAAATTGTGCAATTACATGAGCTAGTGAAGTTTGTCAAGATGCAAGACTAGAATTCAGGAAATGATACAGGTTTGCAGAAGTCAGATAGCAAGCTAAACATCCTCAATTTCCTTTAAGCAACTTTTATGCCTAATTGATAGTTTAACCATCACCATTATTACCTGTTGCTTAAGAAAACACACAATGACATGTTCAGTTTGCAATTACTAAACACTATCCCATAACACCATTTAGATAAGCACAACTATCCGCATGATCCTACTTTGAATGACTAGAAAGCTTCCTATATCGGGGATCTATAGTCTCCTCATTCATTTTCCGCACTTTCAATGGGTCAAACAAATCAGAAGCTAATGTAACCTCCACTTTATGGAAGTCAGATGTGGAGACCAAGATAGTCAATAGCAAAAGCCTCATAACATCGACATAAATATACCTACAAGCTTAT